GACGGAGGTAGCCTGGCAGCTGCGGTGCAGGCCCGCAACGCAGTCGTGCGGGACGCCGACCGGGCGGTGTTCGACCACGCGCAGCACGGCAACCAGAAGGCCTCTCCGACGCGGTGGACAGCGCCTCGCTCGACGGGCTTCTGGCGGGCACCACATTGGCCGGCAAAGCACACCTCTCTCTGGCGCAAGCCCCAGGCGCGGCCGCGCGGCTCCAGGCGCCACCCTGCGAGGCCACCAGCACCGCCTTCCCGCGCGGCCTCATGCAGGTCGGCCTGCAGAGGCGGCTGCGAGTCCAGCTCCTGCAGGAGGAGTGCTTCTGCCCAGCCTGTGGCGAAGTGATGGGCGTCTTCTGCGACCGCGCCCTGGTCTGCGCCTGCCGCAGCGATCGGACCAAACGCCGCAACGACCTTCGCAACCAGGCCTTCTTCGACGCCCTGGCCGCCGGCCACGCCAGGGCGGACTTGGAGCGCCCGGGGTTGGTACCCCCGCGCCGCGCCGGGGAGGCCACCCCCGGGGGTGGGCAGGGCGGGGCCCAGGTGGACGACAACGGCCGCCGCCCTGCCGACGTCTACCTGCCGCGGTGGCGCAACGGCACGGCGGCCGCCTGGGACTTTGCCGCCACGTCAGGGTTGCGCGCCGATCTCCTCGCCGCGTCAGCCGCTTCGTCAAACGCAGCAACGGAGCGGCACGAGGAATTCAAAAGGCAGCACTAGGACACCGCGCGGCTCTGCGCGGCACAGGGTTTCGCCTTCCTCCCCATGGCGGTGGAAGCCCACGGCGGCGGGTGGGGCCGCGAGGCACGCAGGGCGTCGGGGTCCTGGCCAAGCGGGTGGCTGACGCAACCGGGGAAGACGCCGCACTGGCTGCGGACCAACACTCCCTGCGACTTTCTGTCTCCCTGAACAGGGAGAACGCGCGGGCGGTGTTGCGGCGCCTCCAGACCCAGTCAGGAAGGGCGGGGGTGGCAGCAGCCCGCCTAGCCGCGGCCACGGCGGCTTCCACGGCAGACGCCGTGCGAGGTGCCCCCGGCGCTGTCTAGCGCCCCCCGCCCTCCCCCCCGCCATTGCTGGGCAGCGCGGGCGCCCCCCGCGCCTTTTTGCCAACGTCGCGCCGGCGACCCTCCCACGCGCCGTCCGGCCCTTCCTCGGCGGGGCGGTGGATGGATCCCGCAGAGGGCAATCCCCACCAAGCCGCATCGTGCTGGGCTCGGGCGGCCACCCAGCTCAGGTCGCCGCCGTCGGGTCCGTAGCCTCGTCGCGGGTGGCTCTTCTTTCCCGGCCCTTGCCCAGCCTGTCTTCTTGCGGTCGCTGCTTTCTCTCCTCCTTGTTTTCCTCCTCCTCCTCCTCCTCCTCCTAGTCCTCCCCCTCCCTCCGTGGCTGCTCGTTGCTTCCCTCCGTTTCCTTTCCTCCTGCTCCCTGCCCGCTGTCTCCGCCTGGCCCGTCTTCTGCCTGCCCGCCCGCCCCGCCGGCCCTGGCCTCCTGCCTGGGCGCTCGTCGTCGTCTCCCCTCCTCGTCCTCTTCCGCCGGACAGCGCTGCCTGCCCGGAACCAGCGTGGCGGCATGTACGGTATCCAAGCACGGTCTCGCCACACGCGCAGGGACCAGAGCGGGTTGGGATTTGCTCTTGTCATTGTAATGTTCTGGAGCGCCTGTACGTGTAAGGTCGCGTGCGATTTACTGCTCAGTGTTGATGGCGGCCTGGCTGCCGCGAGCAACAGCAAGAAGTTTTTTGGGCACGACTGTAACCAAGGGGGGGGAGTAAAAAAACTTCTGTGGGGCACCTGTTGGCAGGCCGATTCCTTATGTGATGTGCCTGCTGTGCCCTACGTATACCCTTTCCTCTCCACTCTTCCCTTCCCTCCCGTCCCCTCCGAGATTGAGTCCAGGTCCAGGAGCGCGATGGCTGCGGGAGCGTCGCCTCCAGAGGCGTCCCCGGCCTCACCCTCTGCACGCGTCCAGCTGAGGAGCATGCTGCGGCCCAGCGATACCAGGCGGCCCAGGGCGACCTTTTGAATAGGGGATCGACTGCAGAATTGATTTGCACCAACACTGATTTTTCGCCGAAGCTACGGACAATCGAAATTGCGCAAATCGACGAACATTGCATTTTTCGTAGGTTCGACGAGGAAATCCATTCTGGGGTAAATCAACTCTGTCGTCGATCCCCTACCCGAAAGGGGGCGACGCATCTCGCTCCCGCCCCCCCCCCGTCCGTGGCCATTGTATTTTTTTCGTAGATTCGACGGGGGAACCTTCGGTGGGGCAAATAAATGCTGCAGTCGATCCCCCACTCGAACCTTGTCGTCGCCCCCGGCGCCCTGGAACTTCAGCGTGGTGCTGACCGTTCCCGAGGAGCTGTCTGCAACCCAGAGGCGGCCGCCCGGCCTGGCGGCCACGAGGGCCTCGGGGCCGAACGTCTGGCTGAAAGTGGCGGTGAGCGGGCCTGAAGGAAGAGACATTCCATAAACCTGGCTGCCCCGACACGCAACACGCAACACATAGCGTGTTGACGCGGAGTCGACACGCAGACTGAAAACGTAGGTCCGGCGCGATACACTCGCCAAGACGTGGGCCAACACGATCAGCCAACACGCAACATATTCACACGGACGTCTTGAACACGGCACGTGTTGCGTCTCAGCACGTGCGGATTAGGGAAGCTAAGCACAACAAACATTTTCTTTCGACTCTCCGCACGGATTTCTTGGATCGGCGCTGGACCCCACTCCCTGGAGCGCCGACCGCGCCAGGGGCTGCGCTGGAGGCGCTGCCAGGGGGGCCCAGGGACAGATCCGAGAACTCCGCGTGGAACTCCGAAAGGTTGTGTTTATGTGTGTTTTCGTTCACCCTCGATGGCCGTGGTGAGGCTTCGAGCCGACCCAGCACATCCGGGACGACGGCGTAGCGGCGACCCCAACGGCCTGCACCGCCGCGGCGTCAATGACGCCGAGCGGCTCGGGGCCGAGGACGCCCTCCACCACGCCGATGCGCTCCGCGGTGGAGACCAGCAGGCGGCCCGTCCTCTCACAAAGCTCCAGCGCGTGCACGGCGCAGCGAAGCTCCGCGCACAGCTCCGGCCCGCGCCCCGGCGGCCCCGCGTCGCTGCCAGGGCCGCCCGCGCAGCCGGCCGTGAGCCACCTGCGTGGCGAAAGGCGACGGGACTCACACGTGTGCGTCGGCGGCTGGGCAGAGCCACCGCGCTGGCGATAGGTAGTGGAGCAGGGGTGCTGTGGAGCGAGTTGTGCCACCAGGCAGGGAGAAGAGGGGGGGGGCACGGGACTTGCACGCGAGATGGCGTGACGGCGAGGGCATCGGATAAGGCGGAAGGACACGCCGTCGCCCCGTCGTCCCCCTGCAGGGTCGGCGGCGCTGGCCGCAGGGCCTTCACAATCCAGAGTCTGGAAGCCAGTGAAACACCAACTGCGGCTGGGCCATGGGTATCACCGACGCCCTCATCAGTCAAGGAATCGCCCAGGGTCTGAAAGCTTGAAGGGGCCCTGGGACACACATATAAATACATACAAATAACAAGATTTCCAAGATTTTCCCATATTTTCTGGGTTTTCGTCTTCCCACCCACTTCCCATATTTTCCCATATTTTCTGGGGAATCGTCGATTAATTGTGTCTGTGTGCTTTCTTCCCTCCTGAAAGCTTCTGGGCACATTCCGTAAACGAAACCCCCTCCACAGCAACCTTGCGCGGTGCCTCGCGCCGGCCGCCAGCGCGGCACGCCACGCTGGAAACGAGGGCGCCTACGCCAGAGGCCTCCGAGATGGGTTCCGAGCAGATGGGGTCGGAGGATCGTCATCGACGATGCATCGGCGACGTCGGCATATAGAAAATCGGGCTCCACATCGAGCCACATCACCGATGCATCCGCGATACAGCGCGATGCTCTCATCTACCCGGACCCCACCTGGGAGGCCTGGACACGGGCCATCTTACTCTGCTTGCGTGATACTCGACCCCTAAGGAAATAAAACTGTCAATGTCGGACATGACTTGGCAACTCTCTGTCGCTAACTGTTCATTAAGAGCCACGTCTGCATGCGGGTGTTGGGAAAGGGTACGCTGGGAGGGGGTATGCCTCAAGGTATGCCATTCCTTGACAAAAAAAACCTTGTCCCGAGTTGTCGCCGCTGCGGTCGCCGCGGCGACCTCCAAAACCGACACGGAAGTTTGGTCCGGGGGCGTGTATAGTTATCACACAACGATACTCGGGCAACTTCCGCGCGGATGTCCAGGCTGTAATCGACCCCGTGTTTTCGGCTGCACGCAGGGATGACACTGGGCAAGAGTGACCCTTGGTGCGCGGCTTCAGGGTGCAGCAGGGGGGGGGGGGGGGGGGGGGGCAAATCAAAGCAGTCCAAGCGCGCCAGCCCCTGCTGGTGGGCTCCCTGCGGGCCCGCACCCGAGGTCACTATGACGAAAGGTCACTTTTACGCGTACCCAGACATCCGGCTGCTCCAAGCCTTCGATGCGTGGGCTCTGGAGGTCTGGACCACTTCCCTGGGGCCAGCTTTTCGTGCTGAAGCGTTGTTTGACAATCCTGGGGCCCGGCGAGGGCCCCCGGAGGCCGAAGTCTGCCCCAAACTGGCCGCTCCCGTGTTTCTGCAGCGCCGGCTCTCTGGGCAGCCGCTGCAGTCTCCGCCGCCCGCCTGCGCATGACCCGCCCGCCGCAGTCTGCCGACAGCAGCACGCAGCTGCCGCTGGCCCCCGCTCCCTCCGGCGCTGCGGCCTCGCCGCCTCCGGGCGGGGCCGCGCGGCCGAGGAGCAGGGCGCTCACGGCAAAGGGCGCGTGCTCCGCTCCTGCGGAGCCCACGGGGGGCGAGGAGCGGCATATACCCAGACATCCGACGTTTCGGTTCTTCGAAGGAAGACTCGGGCCCCCGGCCTCCTGACCACTTCCCCAGGACCGGTTTTTCGTCCCGAGTCGTTTTTTCACTGTCCCAAGGCCCGGCGAGGGCCCCGAGAGGCCGAAAGCGACGAAAACCTCCGTCTCGAATTTATCGAGACGCCCGATGTCTGGGTACCCCCTCCCCTGGCGCGCGAAGCCAGCCCAACAGGGAAGGGGGGGCCTATGGAGGCCGGAATCCATTCAAAACCGCCCGCTCCAATTTCTGCTGGAGCATCGGATCTCTGGCAGGGCACTGGTCACTGGTCGTGCTCTGTTGAATGTTCCAGTTGTCTCGCGCCATCGGATCTCAGATCTCAGGGTCCTCGCGTCGGCGCTGGACAACCCCCCCTCCCCTGACGCGCTGGCTTCGCGCGTCAGGGGCGGACCCGCGCCGAGAGACCAGCGCGGGCCTCCGCCTGTTTCCCTCCACTCCCCAGAGATCCAATGCATCGACAAAAATCAAGACGGAGGCTGTTCGCCATTTCGGCCTCTGGAGGCTCGCCAGGCCCCGGGACCATCAAAAAACGACTCGGGATAAAAGGGCGGTCCCTGGGAGTGTGTCAAGACCTCTGGGGACCGCGTATTGAAAAATCAAGACATCGGATCCCTGGGTCGCTGTCCCTCTCCGGTAAGGGCGCCGCCTACCCAGCTTATCTGTCAGGGGCCCCTCGTGGGCCCCCCTCGGGGCATGTGCAAAGCTATTCAGGATCTCCTGCAGCAAGGGTGTCATCTTCCGCCGCAAGCAAGGGTCATTTTCGGAGCAGTGCAAGTTGAGATAACGGCAGCCCAAGATCGGTCCCCAGACCTCCTGGGGTCCTAACGCACCCGCTCCCCGAGCTGCGTCCAGCCGTGGCGACGACGGGGTCTCCCGAAGGCCAACTCCCGTTGTGTAATAACTCACCCTCCTCTGACCCTCCCTCCTCTCTTCCGACGTTCTCCCCGCCCCCCCCCCCACCGTGGACGTTGTTCCTTCCGAGGCTCCGATGCTGGCGACGTCCCCGGCCCCTGGGCCGATGCGCACCAGCCAACCCGCGGCGGTGCCCACGATGGCCGTCGCCTCCAGTGCGGGTGCCCCGCCGACCAGCGCGCTGGGCAACCCGGCGCCCGGCGGCAGCGGCCAGGTGGCCGTGTGCCTCAGCGGCCTCGCCAGGCAGTCCTGCGGGCGCATGGCGCCTGCTGTGCGCCTGCTGTGCGCCCACGGGCGGCGGCTGGCCACAGCGCGGGGACCCTGGGACCAGACGCGTGCACAAAACGCAAGGCGGAGGTTACTCGTCGTTTTCGGCCTCCAGGGGCCCTCGCCGGGCCCCAAGACCCCCAGGAAGCGACTCAGGAAGAGCAGCCGGCCTTCGGGAAATGCTCGGGACTGCTGGAGACCCTGAGATCAGCACGTCGCAATTATTCCGCACCGGGCGATCTCGCCCCGTGTCGGGCCTCGGGATGCTCACAGGTCGATGCGGCACGCAAAGTGGTGCAGGAAGGTGAGGTCTAGGGCTGCGGTCGTGATTTTGCGCAAAATCATTTTTGTTCGCAACGTCGGGTCACAAGGGAGCTTTGCCCCTGGTCCAGTTCATCCTGTGTTGGGTGCAATCCCCTCTCTGACTGCCCCCTTCGGCGGCCACAGTCGTCTTCCCTCGCCCGCCCTCGGTGTCAATGCGCCCTTTAGCACCCCGACTCGGCCTTCCCGCGTCGAGCGATCACCAACGCCGCGATTCAAAAAGCTCTGAGGGGATATAAAGTAAATACGTGGAGGCCAAAGAACGGGAAATCCGAGCCTTCCGCCCCAATAATCCCCCAGGAGGCCCCAAGAGGCGCCCGAAACGTTCCCCAAGAGGCCCCGAAACGTTCCCCTGGAGGCCCCAAAACGGCCCCCTAGGTGCCTCCAAGAGGCCACCGAGAAGCCTCCCACGAGATCCCAACGAACATCTACTACAGCACGACAGTAGGCAACTGAATGAAGGTTTTACCGGGCCAATGCTATTTTACAAGTGGGTTACAAGTTACAAGTGCCATGAGCGGCTGAGGGGGTTAGCGGCCAGGGGATTAGCGGGCCCCGCCCACTCTCCGGGCTAATCGACCCCCCCAAAGCCGTTTAGGACACTTGCGGTCCATTCGCAAGCTAGCTTTAGCCAGGTGCAACCTACCTTCGCATCCACTTGTAACCCCCTGCCCCCTTAGTAACCACCGCAGTGATCCAATTACCCCCCCCCCTCTGGGGAGACCCATCGTATGTCAACGGGCTCTCGAAACACGCGCCGAAACCGATGGGCCTCCCAGGTCGCAGGGGGTTGTGAGGACCGCGGCCCCTCAATCAATTCTGGCCAGCCTGCGACATCCGAACCATACCTCATACCCCCGCCAACGATCAGTATAATCCTTAATCGTTGGGAGGCGGCAGATACGGCTAGCATTGCGCCACGTGTTCGACGAACTCGACACACCACCTGAACCTGCTCCTCATTTGAGCTGAAAAACCCGAACTTTGGCGGCAACAGCCCAGCGCGACCGATGAGCAGGCCCTCTTGGGATCGATTGTTCTGCCGCCCTTTCAAAGACGGAATGCGTTCCAGGAGGGCTGCTGGACGTACCCCCGTGCACTCCTCCACGAAACTTTCTTGGAATGCGTCCCCCAATGCATCGGGAATGCTTCTCGCGCGCATTGCAAAGGCACTCCCCTGGAGTCCGGCGGCACATCCCGCGACGGGTCGCCGCCCTCCATGGCGCAGTGCAACACCCCGCCGTCGCTGCGCGCGACGAGCAAGGCACCGTCGGTGGCCAGCAGGCGGACGATGTCGTGGCCTGCGCCGATTTGGCGGGGGAAGATGTCATGAGATCCTGGCGTCTCGATGTTTTCGGGCCGGGCATTTTCTCCTGCTCGGGCTTCGAACCCCAGGACCTCCACGGATCACGATGTATATAGGTATGTATAGAACCGCGACGATGCTTCAATTGGTATGCACCGTCTGATATCGCGATCAGGGATCGTGGACCGAAGAAGGAAGATGTCGCATACTGAATCGATTTGAACGATGCAACTGAAACGGGTCGTACGCGAGACGGCGTGGCGGCCCTATGCCGCGGCTTCCGCGGGCCGCCAGCGTGGCACGCCGCGTGGAAAAGAGAGCGATTGCGCGCGGCAGTACGCAGGAAACTTGCACGCGAATGTCCGCACAGTCGACCCCGTTTTCTTCCATCCTTCGTTTGGCGGAAGAGGATCGGGGTTCGCGAATCGACGGTCGATGATCGAGAATCGGGGTGGAAGGAAAGCACTCAGGCGAAGAAGGCGCCAAAAGGCGGTCTGGCATCGGCCACTCGCCTGCTCCAGGCTGCTCAGGCGAAGCTTTTCGCAACGGAAAGCCTTCGCCCCGAAATCTGCCAGCGCGATGCCAAACGCGACATCTGGAGGGCCGCAATGTCAGCCGGCCGACGTCGGACCGAGCCGTGGCGGCGTGCCGACGTGGCGGAATACCCCAAGGTCGAGACCTCCTCTCCTCGCCGTGTAGAATACCCCCCGCCGAGCCGACGATGACGGGAGCCCTTCCTTGCGGCAAACCGACCGGCGCCTCCGCGCCACGAAGGAGGCCGAGCACGCTGGCCGCCGCCCACGCGCAGGCCCCACGGGCGGCTGCGCCGTCGCCCCCACGCCTCCCGTGCAGCAGGAGCTGCCCCGCCGTCGGGCGGCGCGGCGTCGGCCATCGTCCTTACATCGCTTCGCTGCAGAACAGGATGACCACATGGAACGGAACGGAACGGAATGAAATCGAGTGAGATCGACTGGAACCTGAGGCGGACGGGTGCCCGTTTTGCCACCGCGGCGGCAGCTGCGCGGCCACGGCCTCGCAGCTCAGAGGTCCCAGTGCTCGTGCTCCGTGCCGGTGCTCTCGAGCTCCGCGTGGCAAGCTTCCACGCGGGCGGGAAGGAGGGGGGGAGGGGAGGAGAGAAGGTTCACTGCCCACAGAAGGAACAGGTAGGGGGAGAGAAAAAAAAGATTAGCCTGACGAAGGACCCAACCAGATGCGGTTGTGAATACCGCAATTGAGGAATCCCATCTTCGCCCGCGCTCCCTATGGGGCCACGAACCGTGTGAGGGGCGTGCCGAAATTCGTGGCGGGGTACGCAATACGAACAAAGACGGCCGGTCTGAGTGCGAGAGGCTGAGAACGGGTGAGCCTGAGCGCGAGTGAGCGTGATTGTGAATGAGTCTGCGTGCGAATTACTACGTACACAAGTCTCGACGCCCATGTCGGCACGCTCCTCACGAGGATCGCGCCCGCTTCCTTCCCTTTCTTTTTTCTGCCACTTTGCCCGTGCGCGCCGATGTCCATGGCTGCGGGCGCGGCGCCGCGCGGAGTCCCCGCGACGCGCGCTGGTCGCCCCGAAGGGGTCCCGGCGACGCGCGCGGGTCGTCCGCTGCGCGCAGCAGGGAGAGCGAGCAGGCTGGCTGATAGCGGGCAAGGCTGTGGCCGCTGGGCAGAGTGACGACGAGGGCGAGCGAGGCTCTGGGCAGAGCGCAGCGCGAAATCCCCGGGACGCGCGCTGGTCGCCCGGAGAGGGTCCCAGCGACAATCGCGGGCTGCCCGCGGCGCGAAGCCAAACAGTCAGACCGTCGAGAAACGGCGAGGCTCGGACGTGTCGCTGTTCAAGTCAAGCCTCGCGGATAAACTCGGTGAAACCCAGCTCCCTGGCGAGGGCCGTCGCCTCCCTCCTGCACCGCTTCGTGCGCGTAGCAAACTGCTCCAGCTGCTTCCGCAATCCCTCCGGCGGCCCTGCCAGGAAGAACTCGATGCGCGGCGCCCGCATGAGCAGGAGGTCCTCGTGGCGCGTGGCGCGCGATAACAGCACGTAGAGCTCCAGCCACCAGTCGTCGCCCTCCTTCTGTCCGTTCCCAACCGCATGGCGGCCGCAGTCCAGGATCACGCCTGGGCGACGTCGGCCGAGGGGGCAGCGCGCCGGACAGCCGACGGCCCAGGGCGAGAGTCCACGAGACCGAGAGAAGGTCTGGCTGCGAGCTGCCATGCGAGCTGCGCCGCTGGGACCTTCGGTGGAGCTCCCTATGGGGCCAAGACATGTGTGAGGTGTGCCAAAATGGGGCGAGGCCGCCATGCGAGCTGCGCCGCTGGGACCTTACGTGGAGCTCCCTATGGGGCCACGAAGCGTGTGAGGGGCGTGCCGAAATGACCCGAGGCCGCCATGCGAGCTGCGCCGCTGGGAGTTTAGGTGGAGCTCCCTATGGGGCCACGAAGCGTGTGAGGGGTGTGCAGAAATGACCCGAGGCCGCCATGCGAGCGGCGCCACTGGGACCTAAGGTGGAGCTCCCTATGGGGCCACGAAACGTGTGAGGGGTGTGCCGAAATGACCCGAGGCCGCCATGCGAGCGGCGCCACTGGGACCTTAGGTGGAGCTCCCTATGGGGCCACGAAGCGTGTGAGGGGTGTGCCGAAATGACCCGAGGCCACCATGCCAGCGGCGCCACTGGGAGTTTAGGTGGAGCTCCCTATGGGGCCACGAAACGTGTGAGGTTGTGCCGAAATGACCCGAGGCCGCCATGCGAGCGGCGCCACTGGGACCTTAGGTGGAGCTCCCTATGGGGCCACGAAGCGTGTGAGGTTGTGCCGAAATGACCCGAGGCCGCCATGCGAGCGGCGCCACTGGGACCTTCGGTGGAGCTCCCTATGGGGCCACGAAGCGTGTGAGGGTGTGCCGAAATTACCCGAGGCCGCCATGCGAGCGGCGCCATTGGGAGTTTAGGTGGAGCTCCCCATGGGGCCACGAAGCGTCTGAGGGTGTGCCGAAATGACCCGCGGCCGCCATGCGAGCGGCGCCACTGGGACCTTCGGTGGAGCTCCCTATGGGGCCACGAAACGTGTGAGGGGTGTGCCGAAATGGCCCGAGGCCGCCATCCGAGTGGCGCCACTGGGACCTTCGGTGGAGCTCCCTATGGGGCCACGAAACGTGTGAGGGGTGTGCAGAAATGACCCGAGGCCGCCATGCGAGCGGCGCCATTGGGACTTTAGGTGGAACCCCCTTATGGGGCCACGAAACGTGTGAGAGGTGTGCCGAAATGTCCCGAGGCCGCCATGCGAGCGGCGCCACTGGGACCCTAGATGGAGCTCCTTATGGGGCCACGAAACGTGTGAGGGGTGTGTCATGATGCAGAAGCAAGGAGGGGGAGGAGGGAGGAGGCAGCGGGAGGAGGAAGGAAGGAATGAAGGAAGGAACGCGGGGCGCTATCTCTTCAAAACGAGGACCCAACACCACAGGATGGTTGGGAACTAGAGGGGGGACCCATCGAAGGAGAATACATTGTTCCCTGGCAAGGGGGGCTCCGTCCCTCCCAGGACCCATCGACAGGCCCCCCCCCACATCACCGTTCCCCCGAAACGGCGGCTCTCGCCGTTCGCTCGGCGTGGGCCGTCGCAAGGTCCGCCAAGGCCTAGCGGCCGAGCGCCTCCGCCTCCTCACGGGAACGGAGGCCAAACGCGAGCAGCACAGACGCCAGAGTCAGCTGAGGAGCGTCAGCCTGCTTCGAGAAAGGGGCAACCCTCGGGGCAGCGGGCCACCCTGCGGGCCCTGCAGGGTCCACCCGAAATGCCGAGGTAACCGATCCCTGGCCGCCTCCGACGGGGCCCCCGAGGGCCCGAGCGAGACAAGGAGTAGAAAAGCAGGAGGAGGAGGAGGAGGAGGAACACGAGGAGGACTAGGAGCAAAGCGTGGGAGGAGGAGGAGGAGGAGGAGGAAGAGGAGAAGGAGGAGGACGACCAGTGTAAACCCAAGAGTCATCAACGATGTTGGAATTAACCCTCCCTCGAGGGGACTGCCTCGTTGGAAGACAACCATTTGAAGATCCTGAAGCATGCCAAAACATCGTTCGCGGGATCTCGACCCCACGTATCAACCTGACTGCTGCGTCTTGACGATAATCCAGAATCTTGCTGGAGCGCCACTTGTGGGAATTCAACACGGCGAACCAACATAACGATTGCACCCGCAAAGTCCTTAATCCGTCCAAAACACCATTTCGGGTACTTTGATCATGGGAACCCGTGGAACGCTTGGATGTTTTAAACGAATGTGCGCGGCGCTAAAGCGAGAGCCACAATGTGAAAAAGAACCGCCCTCAATCGGTGAAGGTCTTGCACCTGTTTAAAACGAATGCGCGCGGCACTAAGGCGAAAACCACACTTTGAAAACGACCCGCCCTCAATCCGTGAAGATCTTGCAACTTTCTGGAGCGAGTGTGCGCGGCGCAAAGGCGAGAGCCACATTTTTAAAAGGAGCCGCCCTCGATCCGTGAAGCTCTTGCACATGTTGGAAACACATGTGCGCGGCGCTAAGGTGCGAACCACATGTTGAAAACGACCCGCCCTCAATCTGTGAAGCTGCTGTCACTCTATTCACGCTTCAGAATCATACATGGTGAGACAATATCAGGCGAAACGCCCGGCCCGCCCTAAAAACAGGCCTCCGCGGGTGCGACAGGGATTAGTTATCCATAAGGAGACGGAATGAAGGAGGAGGAGGAGGAGGAGGAGGAGGAGGAGGAGGAGGAGGAGAAGGAGGAGGAGGAGGAGGAGGAGGAGGAGGAGGAGGAGGAGAGGAGGGGGAAGAGGAGGAGGAGGAGGAGGGAGGAGGAGGAGTTTTTTGAGCTCGACGCTCGCACCGCTGATGACCTCCTGCAGTGCAGGACCTGCAGGAGCGAGGGCAGGATGAGGAGGAGGGAGGAGGAGGAGGAGGAGGCGGGAGGGAAAAAGGCAAGGAGGCACGGAAGTCGAGGAGGATGGAGGAGCAGCAGCGGCATGTGGAGGCCGTGGCCTCCAAGGTCGGCCCCGAGGTTGAGGGGCAGGTGGTGGCAGTAGCAGCGCGCGTCCCTCTCGGGCGCCATCGCAGCCGCTGTGGGGAGCTCCCCAGTCTCGGATGGCGCCCCAGGGCACGCCTGGGGTGGGCGCGGACTCCTGTTTCTCCTCCTCCTCCTTCCTCCTCCTCCTCCTCCTCCTCCTCCTCCTCCGCCTCCTACTCCTCCTCTCCTCCTCCTCCGCTCCTCCGCCTCCTCTTTCTCCTCTTGACCGAGTGACCCAGGCTGCTCCTGCTCCTGCTCCTGCTCCTGCTCCTGCTCCTGCTCCTCCCTCCTGCTCCTGCTCCTGCTCCTGCTCCTGCTCCTCCTCCTCCTCCTCCTCCTCCTCCCTCCTCCTCCTCCTCTAACTCCTCCTCTTCTTGTCCTCCTCCTCGTCATCGTCCTCGTCCTCCCCCTCTCTCCTCCTCTTCCTCTCCTCCCCTTCCTCCTCCTCCTCTCCTCCTCCACTCCTCTCCTCTCGTCCTCCTCGTCCTCCTCTCTTCCTCCTCTTCCTCCTCTTCCTCCTCCTCCTCGTCCTCTCCTCCTCCTCCTCGTCCTCCTCCTCCTCCTCCTCGTCCTCCTCCTCCTCCTCCTCCTCCTCCTCCTCCTCCTCCTCCTCTTCCTCCTCCCAGCGTCAGCTCGAGCGCGGGTGGCCTGCCTGCTGCTGGCCAACGCCACGGGCGCCCCTCGGGCGCAGTCCTCCTTTCCCCCGCCCTCCCCCCGGGCCCCAGTCGCCGTGCCGCCTGCTTCGTGGGGGGGGGGGGGGGAGCCGAGGGGTTCCGACGAGGGGCCTCGATGGGGGCCGCTCCAGGCCGCGAGAATGGAGGCCCGTGCTCAGGGTTGGCATGTTCATCAATGAGAATGT